TGACAACTCTCAGTTCTTGGGAATCTGAGCTTTTTTTTGGATGGGATAAAAAAAAGTCGATCTTTAGGTTAAAAGAAAAGCGCCTAAACGAACGTGGAGGGAGCTTTCGATAAGACAAAGCAGCCGGCGGTTGCTTGCGAACAGCCCCCAATAATAGGGAAACAGAATTGAGTTGGTGGTTTTGTGTTCGAGGGCGCAGCTTTCAATATGACCACCGAAAAAGCGCGGGCGTCGCGACGCCTTATCGGGAAAACATAAAAGCGACGCTAGGCTCGAAAGCGTCGCTCTAGAAACGCGATTTCACTCTTTATATAAACTCATGTGCCTAGTATAACACAATAAAAAAAAAATTTATTTCCATTTAAAAAAAAAAATTTAATTTTTAAAAATCTTTTTTATTTTCTCTTATTTTTTTTTAGTTTTATTTCCTCTTTTGCCGTTTTAGGTAAAATTATATACGTAAATGTATTTAAATTACTAATTTTAAGTAATTATGAATCAATTTACTTTTGACTTTAGAAGGCAGAGGAAATAAAAATGCATAGTTACGTTTCAGCTTCTCTCTCTCAACTCTCAAGAGATATACTTAGGGAATCTACAATTGCATTTCCTTATAAGATAGAATAACGATCGCGTCGTTCCCTTAATTGGCAAAGGGTTTTATATGTTTACAAAAAAAAAAGAAAATTTTCTTTCTAAAGCGAAAACTTTACGTATAGAATTTATTCTCATCCAATTGTGTCTTTGTTTTTCATCTTAACTATTATATAATTACAACAATTGCTTTTGCCCTTAGATGATTTATACAAAGCGTGTTATTTTCTAAAATATCAAAAAATTGTTGTAATTATTATAATATAATTTAAAAAATTGGATAAAATTTTCTGATTTTTGAATTAATTCAATTTTTATTATTTTTTGTAATATTTTTTCAATTTTGAAGAGTTTTAATTATTATTTGTTAATGTATATCGAAGCGATTTTGGGATTTTATTACCTCTCCATACCAGCATCCCAAACGGTATGTTTACATTGAAGTACAAAAGTAATTTGCGAAAGGTCGTAACAATAATGAGAAAGTCCCAAAGATAATTAAAACAGTTACAATTCGTGTACCGACCTGTTTAGACGTTAAATTTTGTAATTTTAAAATCAAAATTTCACTCATTTTTAAAGTAGTTTCGGGAGTGTTCAAAAAAAATTTTAAATTGCGATCGCATAAATTTTTTGAGAAAAAGTAAATTTTATTTCTTTTTAATATTTTCGGGAGTGTTGAAAATTTTTTTAAAATCGCGTGTGTTTCCAGCAGAGATAATACATCGATTGCCGGCTTTAAAAGGTTAGACATATATATATATTTTTTTAAAAATTGAAATTTTTGCATAATTAATGTTTTAAAATGTTTTTTTTTTATTTTGTTAATTTTTATAATGGAATTTTTGCATCCATTGACAAAAAAAAAAATTATTTCATCTTGTGTACATAAATCAAGTGAAATTATTCAGGTCAAAGGAAACACTGTACATAATTATATGACTGGCCCTTCGTTTCTTTTCAGGTTAACCTGTTAAACGATTACGTTCGATTGAACAGATATCATTTTTCTTAAATTGAGGGGCGAAGAATCGTCTGTAAAAAAAATGTACATTTCTGGAAGGTATTTATTTGATTAATTCAATATTGGAAAGTTTCTCGTATAATTGATTTAATTGACGTGAAAGAAATTTTTTTTTTATCTTAAATTAACGAATGAAAAAGATTTATTATTTATTAATTAATTATTTATTATTTATTTATTAATTACTTAAATATATATTAACTTAGAAATAATTGAATTATATTGTATTAGCAAAATATTATATTCGCATGTGACATTAATTCTCCATCATTTTGTTCTATTCTGTGGTAGGAGAAAAAAGGAAGAGAAAATTTTTTTTCTCTTTTTTTTTTGCTGCCTTTTTTTTATATTGCAGTCGGCATATCGGCGAATGCACGTTGCGTAATTGTGGGTAGTTTTGCTCCCGTCTCTGTAAAAAAAAGAAAAAAAAAAGTAACTCTGGCAAAAGTCAGAAAATTGGGCTTGTAACGTAACGAGTTTGTGATTGCAGTTTTGAAAAGATGCTGCGATGACTAAAATGATCAATGCGAATAAAAACATACTGCGGATATGTTCGATTAAAAAAAAAAAATACTCCATTTTAATTAATTTGTTAATAAATAGAATTTTTTCCACAAAAATTTTCTTTAAACAAAAAGAAAAATGTAAATAATTTTCTAACTCTTAAAAGAACTAAAAATTTTTCTAAATTGAAAATACTGATTTCACACTTATTGCGGGAGAAAAAAATTATAGAAAAATTATCTTCTTTGAATTTTTAATTTTAAAACATTTTCTTTTTTCCAACCGTAAAATATTTTTTAGAGACTGAAATTCTTATAAAATTGCTTTACCTGATGGGGGGGGGGAGGAGTACCAACGCAAATTAAAATTAAATTTTTTTTTTACACCTGTTGAAATCGATGAAAATATATTCTCTCGTGTATTTTCGTAATGGAAAGGCGATAATTTGATGTATCCACGTGCGGATATCTGTATATATATACCCTATTTATTATGTTTTTTTTAATCTCATTTTTTGTTCAATTTTTTTTGTCGTGTTACAAAGACTTAACCTCGTTTCCGATGAACGAAAGGAATTTTACCTTCTGTCCATGAAGGTCATTTTTAAACCAAAAATACCAGTTGTATATACTGAAATATAATAAGACATAACGGAGATTTGAAATCGCAGTAAAAATGGCAGGTGAAATGTGAAATTATACTCTCGTTACTTTTATATATATATATATATAGTACAGCTATATGAAAAAGTTTATTATATGAAGATTAAACCGAGAGAAAAATATATTTTTCCACAGCTCGCCCCTTTTGTTTCGCGATCATCAAAAAATGTGCAAACAACAATAATATATGTTTGCTTCGGACTGAAATAATGACACACCGTTTTTTTTCTCGTTATGCGCAATTTTCATAAAATTATAACCATCATCTGGAACAAAAAAAAAAAAGAAAATAAAAAAAAAGTAATTTAAAATTTGTCTACAAGAATTTGTCGATCTTTATTAGGGTCGTTATTTTATTTTTAAATTAAAAATTTATTTATTTGAAAGAAAAAAATTTAATTGATATAAAAGGTATTTTTATTTCGAGGACATTTTCTCTCGCAATAATAATATTGATATATAATAAAAAACACTATTTTATGTAACACATTATATCCATCGAGAAACAAATTGGTACAACACGATAATTATGAATCACGATAATTTGCAAAAGAGAGGATGTCGTTGTCATGTTTGTGACCTTGATAAGAATTAAATTGACGCTATTCAAGTTTTAATTAAACCCACACGCGATATCGTGATGAAATTAACGTGTGTGTGATGGCTCGAACGAATTTTGACCTTCGTTATTTTTTTTTCGTCAAAGGGGATTGTTTTTTAATATTAAAAAATAGATTAATATAAAAAACATACTACCGTTAAAAGGGATTTTTTTAAATTGATGAATATAAAAAACAGCTACGTTAAAAGAATTTTTTTTTAATTCAAAAATTGATCAAAAAAATGCCACCGCTGCCACCAGTTTATTTTTTGGCGCGATTCAAATTTTTAAATATATAGGCCGTTGAAAATATTATCAATTAACTTTTGTTATAATTTTTCCTAACAGAAAATAATGGAAAATAATAGAAAATAATATTGCCTTTCAATTTGTAGTTCCTTCAAAGAGTTAAAAAAAAAAAGTTTGCCATAATAGCTCCTCAGGAATATTTTTTTTCTCTAATATATTCTTTATTGAAAATTTTCTCGTGCATGTTAATTGAAAGCAAAATAAAATATATACTCATGGGTAAAATAATTGTGTATTGAAAAAAAGAAAAAAAAAAACTTTTGACATAAGATCAAATAATACACTTGGAGGAAATTTTTTTTTTACAATTGTACGGAGCACGCGTTCATGCACATCGGCCTTTCGATAAAGGTATATTATTCGGTTTTGTACTCACATATATAGTAATTGAACCAAGGTGTAATTGGATTGCCAATAATAGCAAGCGTTCGTGCCACTCGAGTCGTTTTTTTGTCCCTCTCCATCTTCTTATTTCTTTTTACTCCCTTTTCTTTTCTTTCTTATTTTTATTCCGCCATCAATCTGAAATTATTAGTTTTCTTCTATTTTTTTTTCCTTGAGAATTCTCATATAACAATAAATGTATGCAGTTTAAATGTAAAATCCATTTTGTAAAATGATCTTTTAGTATAGTTAAAATTTGAATAGTTTATAATTTTCGATTGACGAGAGAAGAGATACTTAATAAAATGTAAATTTTAGCTTGAAGAAACGTTTTTGAAAATGTATGTATATAATAATATCTTCCCGCGTGTATGCTTAACAAAATTGTTAAGTACGAGTTTAATATTTTTATGCGCGCAGTGCTTTAAGAATATTGTTGACAGAGTACGCCCAAAGGAAAATCGTATACAAATTACTATTTTTCAAGGCCCTTTGAGTAAAATATGTGTGATAATAATTATAATATTTGAATTTTTTCTCTGTATTGCTAATCGGTTATTCTGACACGCGATTATTTGCATAAAATTGTGATTACAAAATTCTCTTTGAGTAGCTCCTTGATTATTTCGATTACTGCGAATTTTGTTCTTTTTTCATTTTGTACTCAAATAATCTCTATAAAATTTTATAATCCTATCTAAATTTTCTGAATATTTTTTTGTGAAAGAGGAAAAAGGTTAATTGTTCTGAAATTTCATCTAAACAAGTTGAACTTGTCTGGAAATATATAATAATAAAAATAAATTGTATGAATATTGATCTCGTATTGAATCTCGACGGTTTCGAAGATATTTGAATTATATATATATATACCTTTGCACACTGAAGGAACTTTTTGTTGAAAATCGATTCTCCAGCGAGACTGCACTTCTGTGCACGCTTCTCGTATACATTCGACTCGATAATGCCTTTGCCCTCGAGCTTTCTCATACCAGTGTATCTTGATCCTGAGTGCACGTAAGTAGCAACTACTGAGTATTAAAAAGAAACACCAAAAAAAAAAAAAGAAAAAAATGTTAATTTACTGCACCAGCACAAACACTTCTTACCTTGCAGACAAGATTCAAAAATATTATTCCTTTATCATCATGATGTATCTTGAAAAATAATTCGCAATATTTCAAATTGCTTCACTCGCAAGCTCGTCCATATTATCCTTTGTAATTTGTTCATATGTGCAAAAAAAAAAAGAAAATTTACTCTTATACTTATTTACTCATTTCATATCCTACATATACGAGTGGGAAAAAAAATATTCAAATTTTCTTTTTGATAACAATTTTTTTTATTTTTCTCAATATTTGATTTTTCCAACCAAAATTTTTAAAAATATTTTAGAATTATTTTTGTGTATTTAAATGTATTTTTTTTATTAAAGAAACTGCTTCTTTTTTTTCACTTTTAATATTTATTATTCTTGTTTCGTTTTAAATAAAAATTTGCACTTTATTTTTCGTAGAAAATTGTATTTTTTTAAAATTATTTAATTTACAATTAAAAATTAGTTAATAAAAATTATAAATTTAGTTGCATGTAAAAATTAAATATTCTTAAAAATTTGTCTAAATTATTATTTTTAGAATATCGTTCATATGAAATCTCGACTAATGAAACTGAGTCAACTAATGAGTTTGAAAATGAATTTTACTAGGTAGAAAGAAATTAAAGTAAAATTAGAAAAAAAGAGGTTAATGTATTTTTTCCATCGAAAAAGATCTTTTCCAAACGGTATAGGTATAGGCTAAAGATAATTATATTTTTAGTCATATAAATTATTATTTATTTGAGAGAAAATTTTTGTTGAGATAAATTAATCAAATGTTTTTTTTCTCGTAAAAAAATCATAAATAAGTAACCCTTTCTGTTCCGTTAACGAAGAATCAATAAATTAAAAAAATTAATTTAGAAAATACACAAAGATTAATTTCTTATGTGTTTCCATAATCTTTGGTGAGAGAGAGAAAAAAAATTGTTTCCTGTGTTTTAAATGATCGATGATGGGTGGTACCTTGAAATGATTAATCTTGAAAATTGTTCTCGTGAACTACTTATTTAACTTTGGTTCACTTACGTTTATACATATTCACACGTCGAACTAGAGAATATCTCGTGCTTGGCACTGATCGCACTTTAAAAAAGCACCTCTGGCACGCCAACACATCCCTCAATCTTTCGGTTAATATTCTCACTATCTAACATCTAAAAGTGAAAACTCATTGAAGGTGTGTTCTACTTAAAAAAAATATAATAAATTCACTCGAATTCTCATATATTTGTTTTAAAGAATTATTGTGGGTTTCTTTTTATTATTATTAGTAAATACGCAAGTAACACGAAAATTGAATCGTAAAAATAAAGTAGGAAATTTTTTTGCAAAATTTTTATAGAAATTCACATATAGTTAAGCATATTTTTCTATTTTACAGAACTGGTTCCGTAATACATTTTCTGTGATGGCTTAGTAACGATTTTGTAGAACTGGTTCAGTACTAATTTTCCAGTATTAATTGAATACCGATTTTTCGGAACTGGTTCAGTACTAATTTTCCAGTATTTGTTGAAGATAGATTATTTTCAAAACTATTTCAGGAATTATTTTTCCAGTATTGGTTGAACTGCGGTTCAGCAGTAATTCCCCATTTGAATACCAATTTTCCAGAACTAGTTCAGTATCATTTTTCCGATTTGTTTCAGTTCCAATTTTCCCGAATTAATTCAGTATTGATTCTCTAGTTTTGAGTGATAGATTAATAGTGATTTAGAGCGTCAGTTACGATTCAGAACTTGTTCTGTACTGGTTCGGAATATAAAATATGACATATGTTGGTGAATTGTATAAAAGAAAAAGAAAAACGAACGAAAGGTTATAATTGAGTTTTCATTGTACCAAAGGTGTTATTTCCCTTAACAATGAATATTTTGCAATATCCTAACACTTCTCTTGGTTGAATTTTTATATATATATATATGACATTTTATTCTCTCCTCCCAAGATACAGTCAATATTACATTAAATTTACATCAATGAAATATATTCATTATTCAGAAAAGAAAGTGAATTTATACAATTGATCTCTGTGTCATTTTGGACCCTTATCCTGAAGAAAAAACTCCCTTTTGTCACGTTATTTTGTGTACATAATCATTATTACAATTGTATTACAAACAACTTTAAGTCTCAATAGAAAATTTCCTCTTTTATATTTACTATTATATATACTATATATATAAACAGGAAAAGACAATTTCACAATATTTATATATGTATTCAATATATGACAAAAAAGAGAGAATTCATGACAATTATTACGTAATATATTTTTCACCATTTTTTTTCTTGAACCCCTACCCCCCTATATCACGCAAAATGTAAACAGAAAAAAAACAGTTTTTAAAAGAGTTGATATATTAGTAACAATAATTTGTTTAAATAATCAAGGGAATCTTGCATTTTTGAGGTTATGTTCGTTATATGTTCGCTCTCTTGGCCTAGAAATTGACATAATTTTCAGGTTATGTTAGCCGAATATTTTATAAAATAATCGTTTTTAGGGTTTCGTGGTTCAGGCCTAAAAACCTTATATAGTTTTGCTTTGGCGTCCGTCCGTCCGTCCGTCGTACACTCGTATAATTGCCATAGTAACAGTTACCATAGCAAACGTTACCATAAAAACCGTTACCATAGTAGTAAACGTTACCTTATCAAGCCACGAAACCCTGTAATGGAGGCGCCACGCGCCTTTGATTTAAATTAAATTTACTAAATACCAAAAATTAATTTATTCAATCATAAATTTTATTAATTTAATTAGTAAAAATTATTAGTAAATTAATTTTTGGTATTTAGTAAAAAATATAATTAGTAAACTAAATTTTCCTAACTGCAGAAACTTTTAAAATTATAAATTTTTTGTCGCTATCTAAAATGATAGTTTCGTTTTATAAACGTGTGTCGCGACAATATCAAGTAAAGAGTTAAAAACCTGATGGAAGCGGAAGGGTGAGAGGAAGATAGGAGGAGGTCATTTTTTCACGGTAGAAAGATAATCTCAGTGGAACCCCGCCTTTTATGCGCCAGCACGCACTTATCTAAAGCTAAACGGAGACCCACGAGCTAGCAAGTATAGCGGACACGAAAAACTATATACATACATATATATCTATACATTTAAATATTTATCAGTGTGTAAGAGAGAAGGTAGCAAAAGTGTGTAGGTAGTGACGTCACGTCCGGCGCGAGGGCATCGAGTGTGGGAACCGGCGGCAGGTGCGTCCGAGTCAGCGTTGGTGATCTCAGAACATCAGAGTGAAGGGAGGGGCGAGCAGGAGGGGGAGTGAGAGTGAATACGATGATGTTGGATATGGTGTCGACGGGTGCGGTGGAGGAGGATGCATTGAGAAGAGAAGGGATGATAGTGTAAGATCGCATAGAGTGAGAGAAACAGTGAGGGGAGGGGGAAAGAAACTTTTCTAGGTAGAGAGTGGGGGAAAATAAAAAACTTACCGCCACGCTCTTCGCGCATGCCGTACGCACACTTTGCACACGCGCAACAATATTTCCATGTATGTATACTCTCATCCTCCTCTATCTATTGTTGTTACATACCTGCATATTAATTCCTACCCACTTGTCATTATTTATTTAACTTCAGTTCATTTTTTATATCAATAATTATTATTGTTATTATTATTACTACAGTAAAAAAAATTATTTTACTATAAAATGAAATGAACAAATTTTTAACTTTTATCAAACTTATGTAATTAATAATTTACAAAAAAAAATTCACTTAACCGTGTATATATAATGATAATTGTCGCTTTATAAATAAAATTTTTTGCTTTTTTCGGAATTTTGTTTTTTATTCAGGAGAATAAAATATACACAATAATAACACGTTGGAAATATTTAATGTACATACACTTTAAATGAGTATATATATATATACATGATATTATGTGCAATTTAAGTCTGCAAAATTTCATATTTTAAACTCCTCTCAATCTTGATTTTTGTCTTATAGTATATCAAGTCATAAAAAAATAAGGGCATAATTATAATAAAATTGCACGTTATTTACAAAAAAAAAAAAAAAAAATGAAAAATATAAATAAAAAGTAGAGGGAATCTTTATAATAACACTTTGTAAAATATTCCTTTATTTATTTCGTTTTTGTTTAAAAACAGTGAATCAAAATTAATTGCCCCCGTCAATTATATTTGATTTCATATATGAAAATTCCCGTTTTAACCGGTATTTCGTGAGCAAAGAGGGAAAAAATTTTTTTTTTTTAATTTTCAATGTTTAAATATAAAAAAAATTTTTTGAGTGATAGAGACAGGGGATTTCGTGAGCATTTTTTAAATTTGTATAGTTTCGTGATGGAAGCTCGTTTAAAAGACGTGTCTGTTGAATCAAAAATGTTCATTGCAGTTTCCAGTGTTGCACACGTGTGACCAGTGTTATATATATATAGTTGGTTGCATTACACGTTTCGACTTCTATTGCAGCAGAGGAAATTACTATCTCGCTATATACAAAAACCAGTTTTTGTTGTCGATTTATTTTATTATTTTCTCATAAGATTGAGATCCGAGCACGCATACGGAGACTACATGAAATTACGTGTATATATCCTATATTGGAATTGCAGTGGCACTTAGGTTATACGCGTGCGCGATTCACTGATGGATCGGGAGAAAAGAAAATTACAGGAGAGAAGGATTTGTAGCGAGAAAGAGAAAGAGGAGAGATATTCTCTTTATTTCTTGGAATACTTATATCAAAGAAGCATATCCTTTTTAATGTTAATGCATCATGACAACATGATATATATATATAGAAAATTAAAAAAAAAAACAAATTTTTTTTCTTTAACAATTTTATTTTTTTTTATAGTTAATTATAAAAATTCGATTCCTTCAAAATTTATTACTCAATTCTTCAAAAATTGTTACATAAAAATTCTATTCCTTTAAAATTGTGGTAATTAGAAATTTATTATTATTGAATAGTTATAATAAAACTGTAAATGAACTCTATAAAATTTAGCTGTTAATAAATGATATAATTATAAACATTAACGCTCTCGAGTATATATAATTATAAATTTACGTGACGAGACAAGTTATTCACGTTGGAGATTTAAAGAAATCTAGCATCAGGCTCGTATCGCATAATCAGTTAAATAATTTATTTGAAACGGCGATTTGGCCTTAAGGAAGCGGAGCACTATATTTAAACGAGATGAGCGTCACTTCTCTTTTGCGCTAAGGAAAAGGATTTTTTTTTTTTATTTATTTATTGCGTTTTCTCTCTTCTATATATCTTTTTACTTAGTATTGAAATGGAGCTCTAAACACGTTTTTCAAATTGACGCCACTGACATTAGCTCGACAATAAAATTTATTTTCCGAGCTCATTTTAATGCTGCGATAGCGGTTTTCTGCATAAAATGTTTATGAAACAGAAGTCCTTGTAAGATTATGGATTTAAAAATTATGAATATGACTTTTAATTATTTTAAATCACACCTTTAAATATGTTGCTCACTTTAAAGAAGTCAATTAGATTCTCCATATCTGCTCTCATTACTACCTAATTTAATAAACCTGATTTCAATATTATACGGATTTTTAAGAAAGTCACACATTTCTTTGATATTTCTTACACATTTGCGAAAGTTAATTTTAGACTGTGAATAAATTAATTTGAATACAATTTTATAATTAAATTAATTAGAAAAAAAGAAAATTGTAAATAACTAAATTTTACAAACAAATAAATATTTTTTCAACGGAGTTTTTTTCTTTTTAGGAGAAGAAAAGGAATATGAGAAGGATCATTATAATAGCGTTTGCGAAATCGCAAAATGTGTTTTTCATTAAAGTGCCATAACTCTAAAGTTTATAATCTGGGTTATAATATTCACTTAATTTACATTTAATTTAGTCTCTCTCACTCTCCCCAATTTAGAGTTAATAAAGAAGCAGAGGGAAAAAAAAACGATTCTCGAGAAGAAGTTTTCAATATATATTTTTTTTTTATTGTCCCTCTCTATATCGGTGAATTAATTTTTTTTTAGGGAGGTAAAAAATTATTCGACATG